CTGTCTGTCTGTCTGTCTGTCTGTCTGTCTGTCTGTCAGGCTCACCTGCTCAGCCTCTTTGACAACGTGAACCGAGTTGTTTTCAGTGAGAAGCTCTACGACCAGATGATCAGTTTTCAGTCGCAGGAGGGAGAAACCGTGGATCTGAACCGGCCCGTCCTGGCTCAGGTACCACCGCCGTCGCTCGGACTTCACAGGCTCGTCCGTGGGCCAGCATTAGGGTTCAGGTTCTAATGATCAGCACTGAAACCACCAACGGGTCAGAAAGCCCTGTGAGTCCACGGTGAGCTTCCTCTGAACAGGTCTGGCTGCTGCACCGGTCTTCTGCTGTGTTTCTCAGCTTTCACCCAACACGTCCACGGTCCTCATCATTGGACCCACCATCGGTTCTGGTTGTTGGACTTCGGGTTCCATCCTAATCCGTGTTTTGGCGTTGAGCATCACATATTGTAGAACTGTGAAGGACACAAAGGGAGCAGAAGGTCCAGAAAACCGTAGGATGACAAGTTTCTCATGTGAGAGACCAGAAAAAGTTCAGCAGGAAAGTCACTCATGACCTGCAGCTTCTTCTGGATGGTGAAGCTCCTGCAGGCCTGAGATGTTCTGAAATGTTAGTTTGTTAGAATCAAGATTTCAGGCGTTTTAGCGTCTTAATGTCCAGGTTTGTGAGGTTTTGAAGTATTAATATCCAGGTTTTGATGAAGCCAGAGGAAGTCCAGTGAAGAAGTCGCTCTGCATCTTGATCAGACGTGACCTTGATGTCTCAGTGAAGAGACTCAGAAATGAATCTGGATCCTCGTTACTTGTTTAAACTACCAACCTGATGGTGGCCTGAATACATCTTTTGCACAGGACTATAAAGAACTACAACAACCGAGTCTCTTTGTTCCTACAAACTTGAACGTCACACGAGCATGACCTGACATTAAAGCGTTCGGACTTAGACATCGGTATAATGAGCGATACAGCAGAAGGGAAACTCTGGATTTTTAGATTTCTCCTGATAAAATGTCCGTTGTTGCACTGATTTAGTCATTTTTTCCTACAAACGTGTGAACTGTTGGCCGTTGCCTTTTCCAGGGCAATGTGGAGGTGTGGTTAGGACAGCTGCTGGCCGGGGTGAGGCTCACCCTCCACGCCATCATCCGTCAGGCCCAGTTGGCGGTCGGCGCCCCCGGCCTGAAGCTGCTGGAGTTCCAGTCGGCGTTTCCAGCTCAGGTCGGCCTGCTGGGAATCCAGATGATCTGGACCAGAGATGCAGAGGAAGCACTCGTCATCAGCAAGTCTGACAAGAAGGTGGTTCTGTTTTAAAAGCAGGCCCACGGGGCAAACACCTGGCCTCCTCCGCTCACTGTCACTGTTTCGCTGTCCACAGATCATGCAGACGACCAATCAGAAGTTCCTGGACATCCTCAACGAGCTGATCGACATGACGACGAAGGAGCTGAGCAGGAACGAGAGGACCAAGTACGAGACGCTCATCACCATCCACGTCCACCAGAGAGACATCTTTGACGACCTGGTGAGCTGACGGACGGACGGACACAAGCGGTGCTGAGTATCGATCGGCGGTTAATGTTGTCGTGGTAACTCCATCAGGTGCGTCTGAACGTGCGATCGGCGTCAGACTTCGAATGGCAGAAACAGTCGAGGTTTTACTTCGTGGAGGAAACGGACAGATGTGTCATCCAGATCACCGATGTGGAGTTCAGCTACTGCAACGAATATCTGGGCTGCACAGACAGGCTGGTCATCACCCCGCTGACAGACAGGTACACCAGAACACCTCATCACCCAGAGCAGGCAGTCGGCTCAGTGATCTGGCGTTAACAGTTCAGCAGATGAAAAACATATTAACTGATGAGGCAGAAGAAGGAAGTCGTGCCTGTCAGTAAACATACCGTAGACCAGCTGCAGTACCTGGTTGTTCCACCAGGTGGCGCCTCTCACTGTTTACTCCCGCAGAGACCAGAGGAGGCGTCTACAGACTACAGCTCCTGGTGGCAAAATACTCAATGCATTGTTTGGTGGAATTAACCTTTAAAATGAAGAACCATTTGGGGTGGAGTAAACCTGTAAATCTACTTTGGGTGGAGTTAATGTTTGAAGTATAAATACTCGGATACAATGTATTATTATGGGGGGAATAAACCTTTAACACTATAAATACTCAAGAAAGTAGGTGGAGTTAATAAAATAAAACTGTAAATGATTGGAAACAAAGTCGTGTTTTTGGAAGAATAAACCTTTGAAACTAGAAGTACTTGGACGGAAAGCGGTATTTTGGTTCTGGTTGGTTCTTGGATGCGACATCGTAAACCTTTAAAACCAGAACTACTTGAATATAAAGAAGTGTTTTGGGTGGGATAACACCTGGTCTTCCATCCTGACGCTCCCAGAATGCATTGCACGGCTGCTTACATAGAAAATGAAAGAGAGGAGTGACGGATGTCGTCGACGTCATCGAGCTGCGTTGTGTCAAAGTGTCGGTGGTAGAAAATCAGCAGCACGTGGGCGGATGTCCGCTGCACTGATCGATTGTTGACCGGTCACCGTGTCCGTGTGTCCAGGTGCTACATCACTCTGGCCCAGGCCCTGGGGATGAGTATGGGCGGAGCTCCGGCCGGTCCAGCAGGTACAGGTGAGTTTCCTCCTCCGACTCGCTGAGACGTCCTCACATGGACTGACCTTCATCTAACTCGGTGAGCGTTTGCAGGTAAAACGGAGACCACCAAAGACATGGGCCGCTGTCTGGGGAAGTACGTGGTGGTCTTCAACTGTTCTGACCAGATGGACTACAGAGGCCTGGGTCGCATCTACAAAGGTGAGTTCACCTGCTGCTGAGTGACGCCAGCTCCCCTCCCCTTATGTCAGGGATGCTGTTCAGAGAACTCCTTCAGTGTTACTCTGAATCACAGACTGTGTAAAGATGGACGTAGCTGCCGTGACGTCACCCGTTGGTTTCTGCTCTGAGAACATGAAGCCAGAGTTTTGCTACTTCCTGGTTGACATCTTGGATTTTTGGAGCCATAGGAGCAGCGATTGGTCAGACGGATTGAGAGGTGGGTCCTCTCTGCCCCGCCCACATTTACCGCCTTCTGCTCGCTTCATCTGTATGGTCGCTGCCGACTGTCAATCAAGCCAGCCACGCCCCTTGTCCCGCAACATATGGACAATGTTTTGAAAATTCAGTATTGATTTATTTTCAGATTGGCCACCTGATCTCTGGATTTGACCATGAAAACTAATAAGAAAACAATCCTGAGCTGTAGGAACACGGCATTTCATGATCTGTGATCACTTCTTTTCCAGTTCCAGTCTATGGGAGCCAGGGCTTTGTGGAGCCAGCAGCTAGTGGACGTAGTGATGCTGCAGGTTTCTGACACTTCCGGGTTGGCTTCATTTTTCAGGGCCGGCTGCTACGTCCATCTTTTATACAGTCTCTGAATGCTTCTTTCCTGGTGACTGTTGACAGTTTGGAGTCCATCCTGTTTGTGATTCCAGCCTCACCAGGCGCTGGCTTCCCNGGAGCCATAGGAGCAGCGATTGGTCAGACGGATTGAGAGGCGGGCCCTCTCTGCCCCGCCCACATTTACCGCCTTCTGCTCACTTCATCTGTATGGTCGCTGCCGACTGTCAATCAAGCCAGCCACACCCCTTGTCCCGCAACATGTTGATGATTTTTTAAAAATTCAGTATTGATTGATTTTCAGATTGGCCACCTGATCTCTGGATCTGACTGAAAACTAATAAGAAAACCATCCTGAGCTGTAGGAATGCAGTGTTTGGTGATCTGTGATCACTTCTGTTCCAGTTCCAGTCTATGGGAGCCAGGGCTTTGTGGAGCCAGCAGCTAGTGGACGTAGTGATATTGCAGGTTTCTGACACTTCCGGGTTGGCTTCATGTTTCAGGGCCGGTTGCTACGTCCATCTTTATACAGTCTCTGAATGCTTCTTTCCTGGTGACTGTTGATAGTTTGCAGTCCATCCTGTTTGTGATTCCAGCCTCACCAGGCGCTGGCTTCCCTCTGGGTCGGGCTGAGAGTTGAACTGAACATCCAGACGGTCATTTACACCAAACAGCTGTTGCTGAGTGTGATCATACTGAGAGCCGCAAAAACCCTTCACTGTAAAGTGTTTCTGTTCTCTGCAACACAACACCGCAGCTCATAACTCTACTTTAATTACATGTTTCTAAGTATTCGTAAGAAGGCTCAGCTTCGGTTGCTTATTGTTTCTCTGGATTTGGTTGAAACTTGTGCTGAACATCTACTGAGGACAGTTTAAACTAAGACGCTGTGGCTCATGGATCTTTTTTCATCTTAAAACTCACACTTTTTTGTTTTAAACAGCTGCAAATGTCCGTAAAATGACACTGAAGTAAAAAAAATAACAAGCCTTTACAGTCAAACACCTGTTTTTAATTTTTTATATGTGAATCGATACTTTTTTCTGTGAAATCTGTGAAAACACTTTAACAAATAATTTGCCATTTTTCAAACCTTAATCGTTTTTCTTGCAAATAACAGCGAGCGTCTGTAGAACAGTGGCATTCTGAACTGGATTAAACATCTGTTTAATTACGTGTCACATGAAACACGATCACATTGTCCCTTCTTGCTACACCTCTCATGTCAGGTGATCATCTGTCGACAGCCAGACAGGGTGAGCTGTAGAACAGTTCTGGACAGTAAGTGAACCTGTGCTTCTGCAGGTCTGGCTCAGTCCGGAGCCTGGGGCTGCTTCGATGAGTTCAACCGCATCGAGCTGCCGGTGCTCTCTGTCGCCGCTCAGCAGATCTACATCGTCCTGCAGTGCAAGAAGAACAAGAAGAAGCAGTTCGTCTTCACCGACGGCGACGTGGTCGACATGGACCCAGAGTTCGGCATCTTCCTCACAATGGTAGCCGAGCTCCGACTCCGGACCAGTTCCTGTTAACACTTTAACCTGTTAAACATATATCAACCAAACAGGCAGAAGAAACAAGATGCTGCAGGTCAGTTCACATACCCTAGACCAGCTGCAGTACCTGGTTGTTCCACCAGGGGGAGCCTCTCCCTGTTTAATCCTGTAGAGACCAGAGGAGGCGTCTACAGACTACAGCTCCTGGTGGCAGCAGAGAGCATTGTGGGAGTTTAGCAGCAACGGGACCATGACAGAGACTCTGAGGAGGTTCAGGACCTCCAACCAGAGCTCATGGGTTTAAGTCGGCTGGTGTCGACGACAGAACGTTCTGTGTGGCTGCAGCAGATGAGGCGACGTTTTCAGGACCCCAGTTTACCTTTAAGAGTACAAACACTGGAAAAAATAACTACAGCCGTGACTCGATGACCCGACACTAAATGTAAAACCTTCTTCTATGTCGGATAGCAAGGCTGTCGGATTGTCCAGACGGAGGTCCAGATACAAGGGGGGCTTGATGCTGGAAGGATCATTAGTTGTTCATTATTGTTCATAGTTGTTGCTGGATGCAATTTTCCGTCTGATGTCTGGTGTAACAGCATCGATTAATCAGTTAATCAATTAGCTTCCGTGGTTGATGATACAGCCGCAGTATAAACGGGTTCATAGACGTGTTCAGCTGTCAGAACCTGTCACACTGTTTCATACTTCTCAGACCTTCAGAGCACCAAACCTCCTTCCTGGGTTCCACACACGCAGCAAACTGATGCAAACCGACTTCATTAGTAGGTCAGTGAGTGGGACTCGTGTGTTGTTAGAACCCTACGCTACCGAGCTGACCGGGCCGCTTGTGCATTATGGTAGAGTTTGGTATTAAGTGTTGGTGTTAGTTTGTATTATGGTAGAAGGAAGTGATTGTATGTCGTTTATAAATGCTATTTGTCCTGTCAGTACATACAACTGTCAAAACTGAGATGGAACCAGACGCGATAGCTGCCATTAAAACGGAGAGCTCGCTGAACAGAACCCATCCAAAAACTTCAGGGTTGATGTTCTCTTAAGTTACCGACCGGTTCTATTAGTTTCTGCAAATGTTGAGAGAACATTCAGAACGTTTCCAGTAATGTTCCTTTAATATCAACATGTAGAGAACTCCTGACAACGCTGGAGCATAACGGTCCATGAATGTTATCAGCAGACATTCTTAGAACATCTCAGTTGTCCTGAAGAACATTCTGGGAACTAAAAGAAAACCCTTGGTGGCATCGGTAGAACTTTGCAGAACCGCCTCAGGTTGCTCCTCTAGCTGGGTGTCTCGGACCGTCTCACTGTGAGTACCAGTAGAACATCCCGCCACAGCGAACCTTGCAACAGAACTCTACAACTCTCAGTTCGGAGAGTCCAGAACCGATGTGCTCGGGAACCAACCAGACACAAGCTTCCAGACTTCAGCGCCACCTTCTTGTTCCCCCAGAACCCCGGTTACGCCGGCCGCCAGGAGCTGCCCGAGAACCTGAAGATCCAGTTCCGCACGGTGGCCATGATGGTTCCGGACCGAGCCATCATCATGAGGGTCAAACTGGCCAGCGCAGGTTTCCGGGACAACCAGGTTCTCAGCAGGAAGTTCTACACCCTGTACAAGCTGTGTGAGGAGCAGCTGTCCAAACAGGTCTGTTCCCGCTCACTTCTGAAGCATCGACATCGTTCTGCTTTTGCTCGGCTCTCCTGTCATCGCTTTTAGGTTCCGTTAGAATCTGACTGTTTAACGCTGTAGTGAGCAGAGGAGGCGTCACTTCCTGGTTGGCAATCAGAGAGCATTGTGGGAGTGTAGCTGGAAAAGGGGCGCCATGAGAAAGACTTGTGTGATGCTGAATGACGCCCGACCACAGCTGACGTATTTGACTAAGTAGTGACTGATTAGAACATCCAGCCTGTAGCATCAGTGACCAAGTGTTAACCAGCTAGTCCAGTTAAACCCATCGAAGGACTCAAGACGTCCCTCAACCAACAATTCAATTCCATTTTGTTTGTATAGCGCATATTTACAACAACAAGTCATCTCATAGCTGCTCACAGGCTCATTGAAGGTCTCGTTTGTCGTCTGTTCTCGTTCGCTGCTCTTTCTGTCTTTGCGTCAGGTCCATTACGATTTTGGTCTGAGGAACATTTTGTCGGTTTTGAGGACGCTGGGATCCGTGAAGAGGTCGAACCCTTCAGAACCGGAGAAGACGGTGGTGATGAGGGTCCTGAGAGACATGAACCTCTCCAAGCTGGTCAGTGATGTGCTCCAGTTCGTTATAATTAGTTAGTGGGACAGTTTGATGAGCTGCTGTTAGCATAGACTTAATGTTTATTGTTGTATTTATATGTGTTTAGGTTTATTCCACCCAAAATGCTACTTTCTGTCCAAGTAATTGTAGTTTTAGAGTCGCAGCATAGATTAGTTTTACCCAAAATACTCTGTCCAAATACTTTTGCTTTTAAAGGTTTATTCCATCCAAAATGCTACTTTTTGTTTAAGTGTTTGTAGTTTTCAAGGTTTAAGCCAAACAAAATACAACTTTCTGTCCAAGAATAAAAACGAGATCCCGACAAACGCAGCACGCTGAACGAAGACTCCAACAAACTGAAGTAATGTTTGTACTCAGACTAGTTCGGCCCGTTCTGTGGAACATGACGTTCTGCTGATCCTCGCTATCGTCCTGCTTTAGACAATGTTTGTATTTCTTTCAACCAATCCCGATGGTCGTGGGCGGAGCTAAGCGACGGCTTCGGTAGCATGGTGGTGGTGATTAAAACATGTTAGCGCTGACAGCTGCTCGGCCCGACTAACCCAGACAGTGACGGGGATTCCTTCTCCGCAGGTGGATGAAGACGAGCCTCTGTTCATGAGTCTGATCAACGACCTGTTTCCTGGCATCGGTACGTTCCTGATCGCAGCTTTCACATGTGGAGACAAACACGCTGAGTCATGACGTGACGGCTTCGTTCTGGCTGCTCTGTAGTTCTGGACAAAGCAGGTTATCCCGACCTGGAGGCGTCCATCGTCCGTCAGGCCCAGCAGGCCGGGCTGATCCCTCATCCCCCCTGGACCCTCAAGCTGGTCCAGCTCTACGAGACGCAGAGAGTCCGGCACGGTACGGGTCAGAACACACAGAACAAACCGGAGCTGCACTCTAATGCAATGCAGTCCAATTCTCACAGCAGCGTAAATACAAAACTAAATCTGAAGCTTTCTTAGAGCCAATAGCAGGAATGAGTGCAAACAGCAGGCGGAGAAGGAACTCTGGCACCAAACAACACCAGACTGTGACGCTGTCCCGCTGAGACACCAAACAAACAGGCACTAAACAACACAACGACAAGAAATGAGACACACACGGAGACAAAACAGAAATGAGACGCGTTACAAACACAACATGACAAACTGACAGAAAGGAGGCAAAGTGGTCACAGAGAAATACAATAAAATAATAAAAGATAAAAAAATAAAAGGGGAAAGAAAAAAGAAAATTCAGATCAGATGTCTTTAAAATGTGGAAACAGACTTTAGATCTGGGCGTCCAAAGGTCCTGCGTCAGGTTTGTGTTTGTTAAACATGCATAAACTGTGCAGACGACAGGTTGTAGAGCATCTATCTGGAGGAACACAGATGAGAAATGCGTCCTCTCTCGTCTTTACAACAAGAAAACAAACTTTAGGCTTCAGCGTCCAGAGATCCTCGTCAGGTCAAGTTGAGTGAAACGGGCAAAAGTCCTGCAGTAGACGGTTCCTGTGTTAGATATTTCAGATCGACCGAGATGAAGACAAAGAAGGAAAGACTGGAGGGACCGTCAGACAAATGTCTTTGAGGAATCTGCACCACTCTCCGCTGCTTCGTGGTTGTTTTAGGATGTTTTTCCTTTTGCAGAAGAAAGATTAGGCGCAAAATAATAAAATAAACAGAATGACACAAAATCAAGGTCCGAAAAAACATGAAACACCAAAAAGACAAACAACAGAAACAGGCGCAAAGCGACACGCGACTAAACGAGACAACACGACTCGTTTCCTCAGCAGCTGCTTCTTGTTTCTGTCCAAACTTTAAATCACAAACACGGAATCAGCAGAACGAAGAGAAACACCTGAATCCCGTCCCTGAAGGTGTGAAACGTGTCTGAAAGCTCCTAAACGCTGACGCTAGTCTCTCAGCGGCAAAGTGCTGCTTGTCTCTCTGATGCCCGTCCTGCGCTGCTGCAGGGATGATGGCGTTGGGCCCCAGCGGCGCCGGGAAGTCGGCCTGCATCCTCACGCTGATGAAGGCCATGGGGGAGTGCGGCGCCCCCCACAGGGAGATGAGGATGAACCCCAAAGCCGTGACGGCGTCGCAGATGTTCGGCACGCTGGACGTCACCACCAACGACTGGACGGACGGCGTCTTCTCCACGCTGTGGAGGAAAACTCTGAAGGCCAAGAAGGTTCCAGAGACTCACTCGTCTGTTTAATTCTGCTCATTTACTGCTTCGTAGTGTTGTTCAGATGCTTTAATGTCTAAACACGTGATTTTCTCCGTCTGAAACGTCAACATTTGTCCAAAACGACAGAAAAACTGATTGTGAATGAACAAAAACTGTCGAAATGACTCAGCGCTTCTACAGAATGACTCCAACTGAACTTTTCAGACCTTTAAATGCACAAAATCTGCTTTATAACACTGAAGGAAGCAGGAAGCAGAATATGGACGATGACTCAAAGTTTGTCCAGAATGACTTGAAATTTAACCAGAACATATTCAGACTTTATTCAGAATGACTCAAACATAAAATAAAATGCCAAAAAAGTCCAAAAGTGACTCAAACGTTGTCCACAATGACTAAACATTTGAACAAAGGGACCTAAAATTTGTGCAAAGTGGCTCAAAATGTATTCAGAACAACTCAAATGCAGCTTTTTAGACCTTTTACGTTCACAGGAAAGCAGCTAAAATCCTCCAGAATGACTCAAAATATTTCTAAATTGACTCGAGAATTGTCAACGATAACTGGAAAGTGACTGAAAATGACAGAAAGTGTTCAAAACTTGTCCAAAGTGGTTAAAATTCCAGTTTTTAGACCTTTTAGTGTTCTAGTGTTTCTTGCATCACCATCAAGCTGCGACTCTAAACTCCAGAAACATTTTAGACACAGATGATCTAAAATAACTGCAACACTCTTAAATGACTCGAATCTGATTTAAAATCACAAAAATGTCCAACAGGACTGAGCATTCGTATAAAATGAGTCGAGACGTGTTCAGAAAGGGAGAAAGCTGCAGTTTGCAGACCAGAGAAGTGCTGATGTGGATCCACAGCGTGTGTTTGTGTCAGGGGGAAAACATCTGGATCGTGCTGGACGGTCCTGTGGACGCCATCTGGATTGAGAACCTGAACTCAGTTCTGGACGACAATAAAACCCTGACGCTGGCGAACGGAGATCGAATCCCCATGGCGCCCTGCTGCAAGGTGAGGGCCGTCTGTGTTCAGCCAATCAGAACTCAGTGGGCGTGTCCTAATCTGAGCCATTAATATTTATTATCTGGGTCTGTAATGAGATCAATGAGTCGGCAGGTATGTGGAGCCTAAAGTCAGAGTTTCAGTTTCACGAAGGTGGCTCTGTTTAAACCAGCTAGGTCTCCATGGTAACTGATGCTGTGGAGCTAGGTCTCCAT